TCAGAGAATAGACTGCCTCGGCTCGGTGTGGAACTCTGCACCCACCTGTACCCGCCTCCCCCTAGCTCCTCCCCCTCCCCAGGTAAATATATCCAGTATAAGACGAAGTCACCGACGGGGTGGCCCCCCCCAGCAGAGCCCCTGTGTCTCTATTCGACTGCAGGACAGCAGGCAGCAGGCATTTCATATCACGTTAGATTTCATTACTGTAGATGCGCTGACATGTCACAGAAATGTCTTAATATATGAATGTGATTCGTTTTCTTCTCTTCTCGCTCTGTGCTGTTGATTTCTCCACCTTTTTTTAATGATCTCTGTCTTGTATCATATATCTACTCTTTAGGTATATATGAATTTAAAGCACATGGAAGTTGCTCTGAAGTGTATTCCTCTATACAAGCCCCCCCGTCACGCCAGCCCCCCCTCTTTAGTGCAATGTACTGTTGTGGAAACCGCGTGGATGTATCGAGCAGCGGGCGCTCCGGTCGCGCCGTTCGATCCGATCGCTGTGAATAAGACGCTAGAATCATTTGCCGAGCTTCAGTCAGCGCCGCGGAAAGGCCGGGTGTGAGCTAGCATGTAGCGCGTAGCCCGCAGCCGGCGGCGGGTTCGTTCCAGCTTCGCATGTGTTTGAGAGAAGGCCGTACGTCGGAAAGTGGAACACTAGCATTGCCTTGAGGAAAGCTGCACACGAGTCCTCTACGGTCGGGGTTTCATGTCGTCCCGCTTCAAGTCCCGCCGAGGCTCACACAGAACGAACACGATCATCAGGCTTTAACTCCAACATTAAGAAAACACGCGTTTATCTTTGACATGCGAGGGCTGATCAAAAAGTTCACAGACTGCATAGACAAACAAATCTGTACCTGATTCGGTGATGCTCTGCTCCCAGGGCTCCTGCAACACCTGCCCAGCGACCTGGATGAGCTGAACACAACTCAATCTAATTTAAGGGAAGCTGGATGAGAAGCAGTGATTGATCCACATGCCACAGCTGAGCTGGTTTCTCTGAATGTCGTCCCTCAGACTCCTCAGGACGTTAAACTGCTGTCAAAAAGTTCAAAGGCTGCACCTGTACAAATCTAAAACTGCTCCTGATTTCAACCTGGCCACCTCCCTGTTGGGATGTTCTCCTCGTGCACTGATCCTCTGCTCCCAGGGCTCCTGTAGCGCCGTCAAACTGTCTGATCAGCTGAATGCCTCAAACAAAACCCCGGAGTTTCATTTAGGGGAAGCAAATTGCAAAAACACAACAAAGTGTTGCTCAGCGCATTGAAACGTCCACATGCCACAGTTCAGGTGGTTTCTCTGAATGTCGTCGCTCAACAAGTTCAACGACTGCCTATAAAGTCAACTACAGCTTTTTAATAACCTGTCTGATGACGTAGTCTCGTCGTGCAGCGGTGCTCTGCTCCCAGAGCTCCTGCAGCACCTGTAACACTCCCTGGAAGTCCTGCTCTGTCAAAGAGTCAAACTCAATCTGATAAGCTGAATGTTGTGATCAAAACCCTTCAGCTTCATTCCTGGTCAGAGGATGGAGTTGCACAGGTGGCAGGTGGGATGGATGAGGAGCAGTGACTGAATGTTCTCCCTCAGAAAGCTCAGCTCAGTCTGCGTTTAGGAAAATCTAAACCTAATTTGAATTTATTCCCAGTGATGTGTCTCCTTCCACCCGGACGTCCTCAATCTGAACCTCATACAACACAGACCAGCTTCATGTTGCTGTAAGTTCAGGAGATGTCGGGGTTCCTGCATCTCCAGCAGTCTGGACTCTTTGATCACGCCTCGTATTTGACTACAACTATGCAGAACCGGGCTGTTTGGGCTGCTCCTAGTGCACTTCTATAGCAACGTGAAGGAACTAAAACAGCAGAGGTGGTGTTCTCCTCTTACATTCCTATGATACTCAGTAATATAATAATAACCTAAAAGCTCCCGTCGTCGGGCCAGTCGTGCTTTGCATGTAACCACAGAACCGTAGGTAGAACGCACTGAGAAGGTCGGAACCGTCGGCTGGACTTCATGAGCGTGGACTTGTCTAAATGTTGCACTGAACCTTAATCTAGTAAACACGCTTTTATTTTGTAGGATTAGTTTTTGTTTATTTGTTGCTGGACCTCTTTTGTCGGATCGCTGCGTAAGAACCAAATCACGAGGCTGAATCTCAGACGTCAGCGCGATGGAATCAAAGGAACAAACAGCTGGAGGGATTCAGCCACATGCTCGCCAACTTCTGGTCACAGTGCCTCCTCCTCCACCTCCGGAAACGCCTCCCGTCCCCCCGCTAGCGGCTCACCTCCATCCCGTCACATAACGCCTACGTACACCGAGCTGCCTCTGACTTCAACACAACGCATGGCTTCCTGTACGACGGCGCCGCCGCGTCGTATCGCCTTACGTAGCTAACATCCTCATCGCTGTCCATGAAACCTAAAGGCTAGGCTAGGCTAGGCTAGGCTAGGCTAGCTGGACGAGCTAACTGAACTGAGTGTGTGTTCTGTTGGACTTCCAGCGCCGTTAGAACCCGGTGTGTGTCTGTGTGCAGCTCTGGAGTGTCGGCCGAGGCCGGCTGGCGGCGTCAATGGCGTTTGATCGAACAGACGGCGCCGCCAGCCGGGCCTCTCCGGACTCAGCAGCCCGCGGACGGTTCCTTTATCTGAGAATCAGTTCTGATCCCGTCTCATGTACCTCCGTTTGTTTCCATTGTGTTTTTTTAAGAGCTGTGTTGTTTTGATTTCTTTTGGTTTTTTACTCTGTTGATTCTGTAACTGACTGTAATTCAGTGTAAACACGTAAAATGAGTGAAATGACGTCATTTCAGTGAATCTGGAGGATTGATGTGAGAGGGGGGTCAAAATGAATGGTTTTATGTTTTGTACAGATTGATAAATTGTACAATTGTGTCTATATCTTAAGTTATCAGTTCATCTTAATAAAGCGCACCAGTCATAAACCTTTACAGGAGTGTGAGCTCACTGGTTTCACGTTTAGCCTGGAGACACGATGACCAGTCAGACTGCTGCTGGTGTTACATCTACATCTGTTCTTAGTGTTTAAATACCGTACGTTTGATGGCAGTTCTCTGCTCAGCACTTCATCAGGACATTATTTGATATTCTAGTGCTTCTCGTGTGATTATTCCAATTATAAATTAATATTCTGTTAATTGATTATTTCAGCTTTAATCAGAATATCTGCAGGACGCTGTCAGCAGTCATCCATCAGCCCAGTAAACCCAGAGCGGTTGATCTCTTTAAAGCTAGTTTTTAGTTCTTTGACACCCTGCTGGGCGGCTGAATGTACAATAATATAATAATTATGTCTTTTATACTTTATTTTAATATTCTAAGTTTGCAAAGCAGGTGAAGCTTTAAAACACCAGGTGGAGAACAAAGTAGAATATTTCCAACTATTTCCAGCATCACAGTTGTCCTGGAATAAATGCACGACGATGATTAAAACATACGACAGCGTTCGTTTTGTCTTGGTTTTACTCACGATGTTCTTCTTTCAGTCCTTCAGCTTTTAACTGCTTCTCTGTGGACGACTGAAGATCTGATGGCAGCAAAACAAAAGATGAACTTGTTTTGTTTTTAAAGCGACTCCAGGAGGTTTTAGAGAAACACAAACGTAGTTCATCACATCAACCAAACCCTAAATCTGACAATAAAACTTGTTCCTGGAGTTATTTGAACATTTTACAGCAGCAGGTTCTAATGAAAATACTTCATTTTACAGAACTCATAGTTTCCTGATACTTTACTGTTAATAAAGACGATTGGTTTCTGGAAAATGCTTTACATTTTAATTCCACTCCATTTAATCGTGTAAATTAAAATAATAATAAAAACAAGCAAACAGCACAATTTGACTTCTGTTTTAAAAATATTCTTTAGATTCAATAATTGTTTTTATTTTTTCC